GACTATTCGGAAGTGTCTGCAGAGGGAAGAATTCCAGCGAGCCAGGGGGGTGTTGTGACAACAAGTGCAAGGTGAAGAGTTCGAGGACGAGATCTGTATTTTGCGGCGTATGCGATACAACCATTACAGTTTTTCGCTCCCATTACAGTTGTTGTCGGTCGGCAAAGTGCGAAGCGATGGGTAGCGTTGTTTACGTGCCTCACGACGAGAGCTGTTCACCTGGATGTTGCTAGGAGTATATCTACGGCGTCTTGCCTGATGGAAATCCGACATTTGGTGTGTCGACGAGGGTGAAATTGGAAAAGGTTGGTTCGATCGGTGAATGAGACGTTGACGGAGCTTGAAGACGGACGATCACTTTCTGACGAAGTATTGGAGACAGCCCTGGCAGAAGCTGAAGAGATGATCAATTCAAGGCATTTAAAGTTTATTTCGAAAGAAAATGAGGAGCCAGAAACATTTACTCCAAATCAATTTCTGCTAGGGTATCCATCATGCGGAAGAGAGGTGAAGCAACCATCCGGCAACGAATCGAAGCACTTACGGTAGTAGCAATCACAAGTGCTTGCTGATATACTGTGGAAGTGGTGGACGAAGGAGTATCTACCGACTATAAACTTGAGAGCGAAGTGGCAGGATGAATAAGGTTCTGCGAAACTTGGCACTCTGGTGTACATGGCGGATGAAGAAAACAGGAAGAATAGGATTCGGCACAGCTTGGACACATTCATCGGCACACATTCGACGCACCTTCGGCACAATCTCGTAGGCATTGGATTGTGGGAAATGGGAAATGGGAGCACTGCTGAATAGCTGTCATTGAAGTTGTTCACAGAAAAATATTACTGAACAAAGAATGATTAAAATTTAATCATTTTATGTTTAAGCAATCTATGAATGTATTGATTTGATTGAAATTTATTTCAAACGTATACTCAGTTTATAAATTATTTCTCTCGTTCCATCATCGTTAAACCAATTTAATAATTTGGAGATCGTCATCTTGCTGGTAGTTATTATAATCGGAAGTTACATAAGTAAAAATATCGGTTTTTGGTCGCTTAGTGTGTTAAAACAGTGATCAAATTACATTAGAAAAAACATGTTAATAATTCAGATCTCCGCCTTCACGTTGGATCATCCGTATACTTGCAGTGCATAATGCCGTTGATGAATCTGAATTCATTCGTCCGGTAGCACCACAGTCTACTTCTTCTGCATATTGAACCTCAAGCTACTGATGAGATCAATACTTGGAACTAGTACAAAGAAAATGAGAAGAACGGATTGCTATGTCCGCTTGTGAGACATTAGCGCTGAAAATCACGGGAGACTGAGGTGGAACGAGGTGAGATAAAAATAGAATTCTTTTGACGTATATTCCATAACGCCTAGCCCATTTTCTACAAGTATATTCAATGACATTCTCAAAATGAGTTTCACAATAGAATGTACCAGGTGGGAAAAGCTGCATTGTATACCAGAAGTTCTAGACAGCTGCACAGCTAACAGTGTACCACAAAGCTCTGAAAAGCCGCATAGGTACGAAATGCCTTTTTAAGTTGATTCGGTGGATGTTCTTTAAGGTCATTTCGTTGCAGGTGTAATCCTGGTGTATGAAACCTTTTTCAGGATATGTTGGTTCATTCGTACAAGTGTAAAAACTGTGGAGAATACTTAAGGCAATCGACTTTAGATTGCCTACTCGAAAGAACGTCCCTTGCTTACACATTTTTTTAAAGCTTTTCAACGAGAAGAATAATCCAACAACCCACATGCGAACTTATTCATTCACTGTCTGCAAGGTCCAGATTTACTGTGCAGATCAGAAGTTCAACACCGGATGTACCGGATGTATCAAAGTCTTCATGAATGAAGACGATATGGGAGATCACGTGAAGCAGCACAATAATAACAAGCCAGATCTGCCAGAAAGCGTTCACCAAATCGAATAACCTGAAAACCCAGATGAAGACGCACATATTGCCAGGATTCGTTTCAATATTTGAGTTCGCGTTCGTTTCCAAACGAGGAAGAAGTCAGCCGTTACTCGTTGGTAAATTCATCACTGAAGCCGTTAAACTGTTCATACTACGGAAACCAATTTATTTAACCTGAAGACTCACGTCCGCCCCCACACAGGTGATTTTTTTTTCAGTAACATTCTCTGTTTGTGGCCACTATCTGGAATTCAACTTGACGGCGTTTCGTGTCCTTGTGTGGGATCTGGATCATAACAATGACTGCTCTGTGGATAATCCGCATCGGTCCATACACTTTGCTATAGGATATCGATTCCACGGTGGACTGTAAAATCGATATCATTGTTTGGCATGAATCCAGCTCCTGCCGGTTGATCAGCAACATTCACAGGATGCACATTGCTCGATTTTGTAGAGTAGTTTTTTTTTTTTACCCTTTCAAATGTTCAAATCGCCTCCAGCAGCTTTTCAAAATTTACCTTGTCTTTGTCGTTCTTATCCCGAACCAACAACTTCACCGACGGAATGCCCTCCTTACCGTCCTTCCCGTTCTTCCTGCTGGTCAGGAAAAGGATGGATTTTTCACACAGCACCGTAATGGTATCGGTCAGCTCGTATCCCAGCAGCCAGGCCAAAGCATTCATGCTGTCAGAAATAGCGGATTGCCAAATATTATTCTTAATATTCGTACCATTATATTCGTATTTTAGAGAAAAAAAAAATCGCAGCTTGCTTTATGACCAGAGGCCTGGCTGACGGCCATGTTTTTGATGCTTTCATCTTCTCTTGTCTTTCTGCTTGCAACACAATTTTGCGTTCCTGTCCTTCATGTATACGTCAGACGGACCGTATTTAAATAAGGCCCGTGATCTTCGTACGTATAGGATTGATATGGGGATGCCAGTCTTCTGTCTACGACCGGCACAATCGGCACAGCAAGTGCACACTTGCGGCACACTGAGAAAAATGTTGACCCAAGATTGGTGTGCGGAGTGACCTACTCCTTGGATTCGAGGCGTAATCGACGAGGTTGTCAAAGCAGTGGATGGCAGGATCAGACAAGTGGTAGTTCAGAAACTTATTAATAAGAATGATTGATTTCGCTAGTTTTAAACAATAACTCGGTGTAGTATGAAGATGGTTGTTCATTTCAAATTTTAAATAGAGCTGCAAAATTGTGGTTGCTCAATGCTTGAGCAAACAATTCTTAAATAAAAGGATATTTCGATGATTTTGGGTTCTCTATTTTGAAAATTTTACAAGAAGACGAGGCTCGGTAGCTCAGTGGTTACCGTTTCTGCTTACTGAGCAGAAAGTCGGGAGTTCAATCCCAGGCCCGTCCCCTTCCTTGCAATTTTTCACTTTGCCTTATTCTATACCCACTAGATTTTAATGAAAACAAATTCTTCTTTAACACCGACGCATCACTTACCACAGTGTGGGTCCTGATCTAAATAGAAATTGGAAGAGTGCGCGCGCGCGTGTGTGTGTGTGTGTGTGTGTTTGTGTATTATAATCGCTCTACCAAAACGATCCCTGCGTGTGCGTGCAACCTTTCCCCACATCCAACATCCCAGTGATTTCTCGTGGAAGCGCAGAGGATTTCTCGGTTTCCTTCCCATTCCCTAGTTGACCTGCATTCGGACACGGCCGGCGCTGGTATTGCTAAATATTAGATCTCCAGTTCTTACACATTGAGGATGAATGTTAGTCCCAAACATCATCTGTTGGTTCTCTGTGTAATTGCAGCTGATCTGGTAATAACAGAGCAGCAACCGTGGGCGGTCAATCTGATTTTTTTTCTCTATTTTGAAAATTTTACAAGATCCAAAATGGCCGAATTTTAGCAAAAAATGTGAATCATTGCCCATAACAAACAGTTATGTAAAGTTTCATGCAAATCGGAGAATGTCGAGTTCTTCCGATTCGTCATTTATTGGCGTGGAACTGCTCTTATCTTAGATCATAATTTAGGCATTTAGGCAGTAATGGTCAATTAGAGAGCACTAAATCCATACGCCCTTCTAAAAAAAAACCCTGAACATCCAGAATGATGATAATTTATTGACGTTTCTACCTTCTGATGGTTTATACTTTGGAGACTTGATATTCGATCAAACAAATATTCACAACCACAAATATCTTTCTCGCTTCGCATATTTTTCCTCCCCACTCGAACGCAGGCCGGCCACCGACGTAGAAGCCTAAGATGATGATGATGACGACAATGGAAATGGGCAATCTAATATCTAAACAAGCGCGTAGAACGAGGAAACGATACTCATAACATCACCTCCTCTAGCTGCTACTTTTACCCATACCTACCTAGATCGGCCGGTAACATTTTATCCCGCTACCATATCTTGTGTTCTGGTCATTTATCGTCCATCCATCGCGTTATGAATCAATCTGGCTGTTGATCCGAACCAGATGGTCGCAGGTGCCACAACAAAAATGATTTCGAAATGGAAGCCCGGATACCGACGGTTCCAAGCAGCAATTACTTTATTAATGTGAGGCTGGATCATTAGCATTATTACTGACTACCACAGCGCAGGAGGTGAAATGGAAGACACTTACTCGATACTACCTACTTGGGGATCATCCATAAATGACGTAGCATATTTTTGATTATAGCGTATTTTGCTATACCTTATACATGAAACGTCACAGCTTTTGAAACCCTTCTACCCTTCCCATCCAATGATACATCATTTATGGATGTTCCCCTAGGGAAATCGGAGCCATATGGGGTAAATATGGGAGAGAGCGTGTCTCGAACGAATCGTTTGCTAAAAGACTTACGAAGATTATTCACCGTAAAAAGTTGAATACTATCGCTGATTCGCGTGCAAACGTCAAAGGAATGATTTAATCTTGTAACCTGTGGGATCGTACCACTTCGACTCAAAAGAGTGTAGCTTTTTTTGGAATTCAGCACCGTTGCTTTTTTCTACCAGATCAAATTCCAGATCAATTCTACTAACAAATGTTTCCATTTCTATTCTCCCCAAATAGGCACTCGGTAATCTGTACTTTGTCATCCGAACCATCGAGAGCCTGCAGATGTGGAACTTTCTCACGCACGAATGGGAAACGGTGGAGGGAAAAAATATCCACACTGGTAACATTGAATCCGTTGCCTCCAAGGAGAAGGCCAAATTTCCGCAGCAGTTCTTCCCAGAGGTTTGTAACGACACTCTTTGATTTTCCCCATTCAGGTAAACGATTTACCATCTTTCGTCTATTTCAGTGCAAATGGTCACGCAAGGGCTTCCTGCGGACACGTTGGTCCCTGAACGGGACCGTCTTCGATCTGGTCAACATTCACCTCTTCCACGATGCTTCCAATTTGGCCGCCTGCGAGGAGTATCCATCGGTGTACTGCAAGAGCCGACGGCGGGCGTTGGTTCACACGCTGGAAAGGTACGGGAGAGTGACTCTTCCTAGTGTTATGTTTGCAATTCCCCAGTGTGCTAATTGGACTATTCTTCCCGTTTGCTCCTATTTCTATTCCTCTAACAAAACCCGCAGATTTCACAAGGATGCAGCTAACCAAGCTGTGCCATATTTTGTCTTTGGTGATTTCAACTTCCGGTGCGACACCGAGGGAGTGATCAAAGTAAGTGAATCACAGAATGAAGAGAAACAAATGCCAAATAATACAGCTACCGGTATACGCATTAATTCATTACTTATTCATTTGATTGGATAAATGGGGGAAGAGGGGCATAATGAGCATCCCGCACTCCAGTCCCAAACCTCGAACTGTTCCAAACAAATTAATTGGTAGTAGCAATGATTAATGACCAATAATTAATTTGTTTCGAATCATAATAAATGCAAGGCACAGAAAGCTCATTATGCCCCACTTGTTCACTGTGCCCCTACTTCCCCTAGTGTGCAAGGAATAGAGGGAAAAGACTGCGCTTTGCATGTTATCGGTAGAAGCTCGACGTCGTCGGTTGGCGGTGGTTCAATTATGTATCGCTGCTACTGTTACACAAGAGCAAAGTGGAGCAGAAACGAAACGCGTGAATGCCTATGTTGATTGAGCTATGTCTAAATTATGTGTAGTACCTCAATGCTTTCGGGAACGGAATTAACGACTATAAAACTATTTCGTTGTTCTAGGATTTTCTAGGGAATATTGAAAGTGTTGCTTCTTTATCAGTTCAAGCTTGTCAAATCTATTGAGTGACGTCAATTCAAAAAGGTCTCGGTAGCAAATCATAATGCTATCAGTCTCTGGAGTTTTAGCTAGGTCCTCAATCTCAATTTAACATGAATGACGAAAGCAGTGACTCAATGATTCAAACTGGCCATAACGACCCAGGTTCATCGTATCAGAATCAAAAGATCCTCCGCATACCATTCTGGTGCTGTATTTTTCATTCATTTTCTACCAATTCAATTAAGAGACGCTTTGCGGCTATGGTTCTTTTTTCAAAATTTATATTGTACGTTCACTTGTATCGGTATAATAAGGTAGTTTCTAATAAATGAACGCGTCCGATCCGGATCTAATGTGCGTGGGACGTCAGAATCGACAGTGTTTTGGATATTAACCCATGCTTTCTTCATTTCTTCTACATTATTCACCAATTTAGGTCGTTTTAGAAGGTGTTCCTTCACAATGGCCCAGCATTTTTCTATTGGGCGCAGTTTCGGAGTGCTTGGGGGGTTCAGATCTTTCGGCACGAAATCGACATCATTCGGCTTTTACCACTCTAGCACGTCCTTCGTGTAGTGGCATGATGCCAAATCCGGCCAGAAGATCGTTGGACCGTCGTGAGCCTTCAGCCTCTTCCAAATACACCTGTCCATTCATGGTGCTTGCGGTAACGTAAGGGGTACTCCACTTTCTGCAAGTGCAAATTGCTTGCCAAACTTAGAACTTCTTGGCGAACTTCGACATCTTCTGTGTCCGGAGGTTCTCGGGAACATCACACTTATTCTTTGCAGTCACATGCAGGTTTCCTGGAATCTGGTTGAAATCCACATATGTCTCGTCAGTTCATTATTACAAAGCGACAATACTGGTGTATTTATAGTCGCGCGTCGTCAAATACAACCGGTTTTTCGGGTGTAAAATACCGTATTTAATCAGTTATTTCTACTGAAATCGGACGCTTGTGTAGTGGCTACACGTGACATGTGTTAATCACTTCATTGGTATCATATTACCGCAGTTGGAACGATATCTAACTCTGATAAAAGACTCACGTCGGCTGTCAGCACAAGCTTTGTGTTGAACTAGCAAAAAACCCGGTCTACTGTGGGATAATATCCAGCAGCGTATAAGTTAAGAACAAAAATCATTTACTCGGCTTCGGCTATGGCCGGAGCCAGTCAGCCCCTCGGAGAGGGGGTGGCACTGGTGATCCCCTAGATTTTTCCCCAGGAGCTCTGCTACCAAACTGGTTACTGAGCTCAGATGAAATAGGATATGAAATTGTGCTCGTTATGCAAGTTCGACAGGAAAACGCTAGGGGCATCCCACTCTAAACTTTGTATTTCTCACGATGTACTTATAAAGTTCTAACTGATATCTTAGATACCTATGAATACTTTTTTTTTTTTTTGCTTGATTTGTTTTCCGTCGATCTTGTTTTCCGTGCTGAGCACCAATGCTACCGACGCCAGGGAGGCAGCTCCCACACCTGGACCCTACCTATCGACCCATCAACTCATGAACCGGGGACCAACGGCTTCACTTCCCTTCCGAAGGAAGACGTGATCAGAGATGTTATGCCTCAGAACATCCCGGCGGCGCCGACTGGGATTGAACCCAGGCCTGCTGGGGTGAGAGGTAATCACGCTTACCACTACACCACCGGCGCCGCTAACCTATGAATACTTAAAAATACTTAAGAAATACTTATGACTGGACTGCTTCCCTCGTTGCTAGACAAATTTCTGTGGTTTGTTTATTTTTATTTTTTTTCTAATGCATTTATTTTTCCAGGCTCATTTACTATAGCTTCGCGGGCCGATATTCATTTTTTTGATCACAAAATTACTTAAAACTAACGTTAGTAAAGCGGGGACCGATTACTCGCTGCGATTATTCACTGTTGTCAGGGATTTTATGTGTTAGGTTGGATTTTGTGCAGCGTTAAAGCACAGATAAACAGACATAACTCTTAGAAGAAAATTCTTCAAAAAATATCGGCAAGCGTATATTGCATGCGCACTAGCACCATCTATCATCCACATTCCCAAGCAATGTTTTACAACCGGAGCATCCCTCGTGCATGCTTTTCCCTCGCTCTGTCAACGCGTCAGCTGTGTTGAATAAAAACAAAACAGATGGAAGTCAGTGATGTCGGTACTACGAAATTTTCCGAAGATCTATAGAATTGATTGAATTCTGCAGAAATACGGATCCGTAGGAAAAATTCACAGAAGCTAAGACTTTTTTTTAGGGATTGGTTTTGTTTGCTTATTGTGCTTTTTCTTTTGCTGGAAACAAGTTTTTAAACAAGGTAATGCATTACTTATTAGTGCCCTTTCTAAATGTAGATGTATCAATCAATGATATTCATGGTGAAGTATTGAACATCAATAACTGGTAAAAGTTGATAGAATATTACAGTCATCAACATGATTTGTTCTCGAATTCTGTGTACATCGTACAACGTAATGTTAGGAACGGAATGACTAATGTGCAGCAGTTTTGATGTAATATTCAACAACTTTTTTTTTGTATTCGTCAAATGTGGTATGTGTCTTTTAGTGGGATGCCTTGACCACTTATCATTTTCAAGAGCTGACATCTACTAGCTAGACGTGAAAAAGAACTGGCATCACTGATAAGTTCAAAATGTGGTAGCTTGCTCAATGCTTCAGTGGCGCCACCCTGACAAATGCAAGCACATTCCCAACTAAAACATTATTTGCGATGAATGTGATTGTGAGTGTTATGTCTGTTTGTCTGTGGTTAAAGTGTTTAGTGAATAAATCATACAAAAGAAGAGATTTACAACTTCATAGGAAAGGTCAATTATGGTCTTTCGTTGATTAGAATATGTCTTTTCTTCTGACATAAGAGAAAATTAAAAAATCTGCTTTCCAGCTGCACCGATTCTCAACCTGAAGTATCCGTCTCTCTTATTTAAGTAGCTATATTTGAGATAGTGGGGCTTATTACGGATGTCACTTTACGGTGAAAACTTGTCTCTTGTCGTCACGGTGAAGTGATTCCCATTTGATTTGTACGGCAATCACGGCTCTTATTATGAGTAGCACTTCCTTATCACCGTGTAGTGACACCCGTAATAAGGTCCAGTATTTGAGCAAACACACTTTTTCGGAACAAGTTTCATTATAATATTCAATCCTATTTCCTATTTGGATCAAAACATATTTGTCATAAGTATTTTTGAAAATTTGTTTCGATCAAAACAAGGGTAGATAGGTAATACATAAATAGATAGAAATAGATAAGTGATTAATTTGAATCAATTGAGCAAATTCAGTATTAGGCAAACATCCCAAGTAACTTTTTAAGTTTTATGAAATACTACAAAGCAACTATAAAACAACATTCATAAAACCCTGGTCAAGGCTATTTTGTCATTCATGCATCCACCAAAACCTCATTAAGACTAGAATATGTCTAGTTGGCCCACCCTGGAGAAGGTTCTGAAGGGTGTATTCTCGAAGCTCTTCAAGATTGATTTACTGCAAAAGGTTGTATGACGAACGCATTGAGGACCATTTGAAAGCTACAATAAAAGCTATTTAGCAACAATGAAAACCCTTTCCGAGCCATTTCCCCTAGCCGTATGCTGAATCCACTAAGAAAGCATCAATCAAGATAGAAAAGAATTTATGAATCCTATCTTATCAAAATAATTAAATTAGAAACTGATGGTTTAAAAATCTATCCAAATTTATTACAATAGTTCTCATTAAGTGGCCTAGTTTTAAGTGCCATATTAAATTTTATGTGAAATGTACGTGAAAACATCGAAAAAATTAAGTCCACGCTCGTAAAACGTCGATTTGACTAATTATTTAAAATTGAAAAAAAATATGTATATTCTTCGAGCTTGGCCGACACTTTTTTTATTATTTTCGCATTTAAATGTTTGCTCATTGCTAAATTTACCAAAATATAGTTATATCTAAGGAAATATTGATTGTAAATCGAAGATTGTAAAAAACAAGCAAACTAATTGTAACATGGCGGTGGCATAAAAGTTGATTTTCATGGGTCATTTGTGAAAAAGTTGTTTTGCTTTCAAGAATTCCTTAACAAATTAATAAGGGTTTAAAATGGCTTTTATGAAGAAAACTTGTCGGCTGAATTGTATTTATCTAAAGCCATTTTGCTTGATCCTTACCCGTTCAAGATTTATGGCAGCATTTATGGAGGCAAAGTAGTCTGCAAAAAGTTAAACGTCAAAGTTTGTTTATCTTTCGATAGTTGCGCTGTGGAATCCAAGATTCTTCCAGGCGGTTTTCTCCCGATGGATTGTGAGCAGTTACTCAGATAGTTTGGGATACTGTTTTACAACATTTCGTATTTCGAACAGCTGGAAGCGCAATCGTTCCCAAAAAAGATCTCTATCCAGCCCACGGCTCTCTAATAAAGGAAAAAATCCCCTTCTTCCG